GCTGTCAGACAGAACCCTGTGATCCTACCTGAGAAACCAGGCTGGATGGAGCTCAGCAGCTCAGGCTTGCAGCAGTTTCACAAGCTGTTTCATTACTTTGGTTTGGATGTAAAGTATCCTTTATTTGTACTTGGATTAAAAAGTCAGAGCAAACTCAAACCCAGCAAAACCCTGGACTCACAGACTATGTTCTTCCCAGGAGCTTCTGAGGCCGTGTCCAACTCCAAAAGCCACAAGATGTGTTGGAAGCTGTGGCCGAGGAGAACCTGCCTGGTGCTGGACAGCCCTGCAGCACAAACCAGCTGCATCTCCCACAGCACTGAACAGCCAGTAAACCCTAAATGCTCCAATCAGAGCGCCTCTTTCCTCATCCCAAATCTTCTACTGGCTTCTGATCATCCATCCCCCTCCCCATCAGGCCCCCACAGACCTCTGAGCACATCAGTTGCTAATTAGAGGAAGCTGCAGGTAATTAGGTGACAGGTACCTGTGCTTGCCCCAACTCCTCCTGCTTCCCGGCTGCAGTAACCGTGGGGGGGTCCCTGTGCTTGGCTCGGGGGTCCACCCCCAGTTCCCCGGGGTGGGGTGGGGGTCACAGCTGCCCTCTCAGGGCCAGGAGGAGCCCAGGGAACTACCTGGCTTTGTTAATGTTCTTTATTTATTTGTTGTATCTTGTTTTTTTTTTTCCCCACATGCTTTTAGGAGGCAGGAGATTCTTAATACAGGGAGGGTTGGTATATTAACATCACATTTTTGCTACTGAAAGGACTCTCTGGTCTGACTTCTACAGGAGATGTTTTGACAACAAAACAGTGCAGCTATGATTAGCCTGATAAAAGGGAGCCAGAGTTGGAGTATTGATGGTATGTGCATCTAGGATCTAGTTACAAAATGGGCTTTTAACCACATTTTCCCTTGCGAATTCCTGTTATCAGAGGCCATCTTAAAAGAAAAAAATAAACAAAAAAGACAGGCAACCTTTCTTTTTCATTTTAGATGGGCATGTTTCTTGTATTCCTTTATGCTTATGAAAAATGGGTCATTAATAGTCCTGACCAGAAGCACGTACAGAGCAGTGTGTGCTGTGCAGATCTCCTCAGCCAGCTCCATGGGAGCAGAGCAGCACTGAGCCTCTGCAGCTCCTGGACCCAGCTGTGGCTTCTTGAGGGAGCTCAGCAGTCCCAAGGGATTGTATCCAGACCAATAGAATAGACTTTTCAAGGGGTTTTTTTTTTGTTTTTTTTTTTTTTTTTTTTAATCAAATTTATTTTGAGAATACATTTTCAGAGCTGATTAGTGGCCCTACTAAATCAGTGCACTGTCCAACCCCAAAAAGCTGCCCTGACAAACAATTAACAATAGAAACACCATTGTGGCAACCAGTGATGGATGGCTCCAGGGTGCAGCTTGGGCCCAGGCTTTGTTCAGAAGAACGTTGCTGCTGCTAAATAAAGACGTGTGTAGTAAAAGGTGAGAGCAGAGAGATTGTATCTGGAATAAAACTATTTGCTCTGCTTGGGGTGTGTTTCTCACAGCACTGAGCATCTCAGGAGAGGCAGGAGAGCTTCATGGCTCTGGTCATGATCAGAAACTGCCAGGCACCAGGGAATCATGGAATGGTTTGGGTGGGAAGGGACCTTAATGATCATGTTCCCACCCTGGCCATGGGCAGGGACACCTCCCACTGTCCCAGGCTGCTCCAAGCCCTGTCCAGCCTGGCCTGGGACCCTGCCAGGGACCCAGGGGCAGCCACAGCTGCTCTGGGCACCCTGTGCCAGGACCTGCCCACCCACCCAGGGAAGAATTTCCTTCCAAAATCCCATCTAAACCTGGCCTCCTTCAGCTTAATGCGATTCCCCCCTGCCCTGTCACCCCCAACCCTTGTGGAAAGGCCTCCTCCATCCTTCCCCTTTAGGCACTGGGAGGAGCAGCAGAGCCAAACCTCCTCCTGCCATGAGCTCTGGGATTTCTCTTAAATCCTTTTAAGAGCATGGTTTTGAGTTAATTTCTCTTGCCACAGGCAATTTCCTGATTCCTACTGTTCTGTCATTAATCTCTAATTGTTATTCTAAGTTTTGTGTTAATTTACCAACTTGCCTGTAACTTATTACTCTAAAGAGAAGTGGAATCAGTTATCACAATGCCTCGTATTGATTTTATTATGCAGATATTAGAATCTATTTATTAGAAGTAATAAATATGAAGACACAGTACAAAAAAGGAAGCTGGATATGCAGACCCTGTAATGGTAGGTAAGGATTAGTTACTACAGACCACTCTAAAGACATTGTGGTTGAAAGGATGATTTAAGGTCTACAGCATTTTAAGAATTATTAAAAAGCCCGAGAAACTTTGCCAAACAAGCCAAACTACCTCCTGTAATCTGCACAGGAATGTTATTTTATGTATTCTTCAAATGCATCTAGGTCATGACTTTTTTAGGAATGAACAGAGGAAGAGAAAGTCATTGATTAGTCCAGTAAGTTATTTTCTTGGGGAAGTTTACCATTCTCCACTTTTTCTGAACCCCAAGAAAACAGTTTGCTCATCCTTGACCTGTCCCATACCAGTGTGCTGTGTTAAACAGCTGAGGTTGAATTATACTATCACTAGCTTCCACATCAGAAATAAAGAAAAAAAAAATCAGAAAAATGAAACGTAAAAAACTGTGGATGTGTTTGCTGGAGAAGCTGCAGTGCGTGGGCAGGGCAGCTCTCCCACATTCCCAAACCTCTGGCTGTGGCACACCTGTCCTGTTGTCCCCTGCTCGTGGCACTGGAGTGCAGCACGGCTCTGTCAGCACCAACAGCGTGTTCCCTGCTGGTGACGGAGGGAGCGGAGCACAGCCTTTCTGCTGCCTCGTAATGGCACTTCCCTCTGCTGGGGGTTTTTCCCCACCCAAAGAGCACCTGCTTCAAGCCTTGAATTTGTTCTCATCAATACCTGCTGCCCTCTACTCACACCTGTGGGCTCCGGCCCATCCCCTTGTCCCTGGTGCTGGGTGTGCTCCGGAGCTGGGAGCCTTTATTACATTGGAGGCTGGAAAAGCCTCGGGGCAGCTGCTCCCACCGCCCCAAATGCCCTGCAGGTGCTGAGGGCTGCCTGCTGCTGCCCGCTTTTCCCTCTCCCACTTTTCTCTCTCCTCCTTTTCCCTCTCCCCCTTTTCCCTCTCCCCCTTCCCTCTCTCCCCGCTGCGCTGTCCGCGCCTGCAGTTCCGGCCGTGCCCGCCAGGTGCCGCTCTGACAAAGAGGTTGCGGCGGGCGCTGCCCGCGGGGCTCGGGGCTCCCCCGGACCCGAACCCCGAACCCGAACCGAACCGAACCCCGAACCCGAGCCCCAAACCGAAATCCTGCGCCCCAAACCCTGCACCTCCCGAACCCTGCACTCCCCGAACCCTGCACCCCGCATCCCGCAGTCCTGCACTCCCACCACCCGCACCCCCGCATTTCGCTCCGTGCTCCGTCCCGCGCCGAGGCCGGGCCGTCCGCTGGCTCCGGGCGCAGTGGGAAGCACGGCCTGGCTGCACGGAGAGGCTGTGGGGCGCCAGGGTGATGGGAATCATCCTCCGTAACAGGGAACGCGGGGCGATGGAGAGCTGGACTGGGACACCCCTTCCCTGCCCCGGGAAGTCGGCAGGGACGGACCTGGCCCACCCCCCAGGACCGGCTGCGCCCCGCTTGGACCGCCCTGGGGCGGTTCGGGAGAGCAGGGGGTCCGTGCGGCCGCGGCCGCTGCCCCGCCAGAGGGGCTCCAGCCCGGCTTCTCGGGGGGCTCTGGCCCGGCTCCTCTGAGGGACGCTGAGGGATCCTGTCATCGTGTTTCTGTCATCAGAAAAACATTATCAGCAGAACAATTCCCGCACCACACCCCTGTTATCATTTAGGTAACCTCCCTGTTTGAAATATTTTAAGTGGATAATAAAATAGTCACTATATCCGTGTAAATTCCCGCAACGAGGAGCCGGGATCCTCTTCCCGGCCGGGCCGGCGCCCCCGCCCGCGGCAGCCGCGCGGCTCCCGGAGCTCCCGGGCGGCCGCAGCCCCCGGGCCGCCCCCAGAGTGGGCTCGGACCGCGGACACGGACGTGCGCCCAATGTCACGCGGACCGAGCCCTGCCCTGTCACTGGAAGGATCGGCCACAAAACCGGCGGGGAGGTCACTGCGGGCACACGGGGCTCCCTCTCGCCCCCCTCCCCCACCCCCGCACCTGCCGGTCTCGCCTCGCCCCCCGGCGCGGGCAGGGCGGCGCTCCGGGGATGCTGCGGCCGCCCGTGGCTCACCTCGGCGCGGGGACCGGGAGGCTGCGGGACAGCCCGCGACACGCGGGAGGCAGACCGGGGGGAGGAGCGTCGGGACAAACGCATAAAACCGGCCCCAGGTGCTCGGCAGCCTCGGCGAGCGGGCGGCGAGCGCAGAGTCAAAGCTGCGGCCCCGCTGCCGGCGCGGAGCAGCGCGGGGTGCGGGCCCCCAATGCCGCCCGGCGGGCCGGGGCCAGCCCCGGGGGCGTCCCCCGGTGACACCCCCCGGAGCCCCCGCCGCGTTCCCCCGGGCCGTGCCCGCAGGAGGAGGATCGCGCTGAGCCTGCCCGCAGGCAGGTGATCCGTCTGCCGCTCCTGTTCCCCTCCTGCCCACCTTCCCGCCTCGCTTTGCCCCCCCGGCTGGACAACTCCCTCCTCTGGAGAACACGCCCAAGTAGCTGAAAAAGAGAGAAAGAGAGAGAGAAAAAAAAAGGGGGGGGGGGGGTTTGTGAAGAAGAGACAGAGCCAATTCACAGCGAAGGTGGGGACGCGGCTGGCGCTCGCAGGACCCCGCAGCCCGTCCAGCCCCACGCTCCCGGACAGCACCCGCGGCCGGAGCGGGGCCGGCAGCGCGGGGGAGCGCAGCCCCGGCGGGGCCATGCTGAGAGGCGGCGGGGGCTCGGCGCGGAGCCGCGGGCGCTGCGGGGCGCGGTGGGGGCTGCCCCGCTCGGCCGGGCGGCCGTGACCGCCAGGGACGGAGCGGCCCCGGCGCCCAGAGCGCCGGGCATCGTTTCGCGTGTTGGTCTGAGCCACGGCAAGCAAGGAATATGAACAGGAAAACAAGGCGCTGGATCTTCCACATCTTCCTGAGCCTGGGGATTGTGTATATCAAGATTGGGTAAGTAACTTTTTTTTCCCCTTTCCTTTATAACAATCGCGCTCTCTTTCGCGCTCAGCCCAACCTGCCCAGACCTGTTACTATTTAACTCGAGAAGTCTCAAAAAAAAAAACCAAAAAAAAAAAAAAAAAACAAAAAAAAAAAAAAAAAAAAAAAAAACCAAAACACCCAACCAAAAAAAAAAAAAAAGATTATGGTGGAGATCACGATTATTTCTCAAAAGACAGGTAAAGCGCACCTCGGAGCGACCCTCCAGCGGGGCAAGGCGGCGGCCCCGGCGATGTGCGGAGCTGCGAGGGGCTGGGCGGCGGTCCCTGCCGGGGACACCGGGGCGATCCCCGGGCAGCCGGCCCTTCCCCAGCCCGGCCGGCGGCCCGGTGCGGGGTGCCCCGGCCGCTCCCTGGCCGGTACCTGCCCGCGCCTCCCGCAGGGACATCCCTCGGCCGCTGCCGCCCGGGCAGACAACGTCGCCCGCCCCGGGAGGGGCGCAGGGAGGGCGGCGGCGTTCCGGACCCGCAGCATCCCCGGCCAGGTGCGCTGGGTGCGGGAGGAGGCGGCGCGGCCCCGGGGCAGGGAGCGTGGGTTGTCTCCCTCCCTTCCTTCCCTCTCTCCCTCTCTCCTCTGACTGCTCGGCAGGTTTGGGAAAACCCTCCCAGCCCTCCGCCTGTGCGCGACCCGGGCAGACAATGCCGCTGCATGCGCTTTAATTCTTGAAGGGGGAAGTTTGGTCCTGTTTTAGCAGGAGCCCACGCGCTGCCTATCTCTGCCTCGGCTTGGAGAGAGGGACGGGGAGAGGGCAGCGGCCCGGGAAAGGCGGGCGCTCTCCGGGGCACCTGCCCGCACCGGAGCCGCAGCACGGGGAGGCGGCGGGTGCTGCTCTGCCTCCGGGACCAGCCTGCCCTCAGCCGCCGCCGGTGTCTTGTCGTTGCAGGGGTTTCTCCTCTGTGGTGGCCCTCGGAGCCAGCATCATCTGTAACAAGATCCCGGGGCTCGCCCCCCGGCAGCGGGCGATCTGCCAGAGCAGGCCCGACGCGATCATTGTCATCGGGGAAGGGTCCCAGATGGGCATCAACGAGTGCCAGTTCCAGTTCCGCAACGGGCGCTGGAACTGCTCGGCCCTGGGCGAGCGGACGGTCTTCGGCAAGGAGCTCAAAGTGGGTACGTGCTCTCGGCTCTGCTGCCGGCCCGCCCGAGGGCACGGGGGGCACCGGGGGCGGCGCAGGCACGGCTGCCGAGCTTGGGGACGCGCGGCTCCCAGCCCGTGCCAGCCGGGCAGGACGGGCACTGCGAGTGTGTGCACCTGGGCGCTGCGCTGCTGCTGCCCCCCGGCAGGGCACCTGCCCGTGCTTCACCTCCCTGTGTGCCAGCTCCCACCGCATTATTTCACAGCCCTGCTCTCTGAAATCCTCTCCAAAAAGCTTCCCGATTGTGTGCACAGGACCTGATTAATGTACTTAGGGATGGGAAAAAAGGGGGCTGGCTCTTTTTGAAGGCAGCAGTGAGAGCCAGAATGCTGAGCAGAGCTGGAACTGCACTTCTGGGATGCAGGCACCCCCAGGGATGCTGGCCTGATGTTTGTGCCTGGTGGGACCCAGGCACAGCCATAAGGCTCGCTGTGAGAAATTCCCAGCACGTAAAATTCTTCCACAGCAGCTGTGCCTCTGTGGCACGAGGAAGAGTGGGTGTGTTCTGCTTTGAGATGTCAGGGCATTCACAAACGCTGGTCCAATCCACTGACAGAAGATCCCACTTCCATTTTCCATGTCTTCAGTTATTGCAGCAGTACAAAATATATGCAAATTCTGAACTAAAGCAGCATTAATAATAACTAACGTGAATACCTGAAGAAATAGGGCTGAGATTAAAACTCTCACGCCCCCATCTGCAAAACACTGTAGTGAAATTTACCCAACGTTTCTTTGATTCCACGTAAAATGCAAAGACCAAGGAATGTGTTTTCCAAGTACAGGCTAGTCTTTTTTAGAGCCACCACTGAAAGCTAATCACTCACAGCACTGCATTCCACGTCCAGGAGGATCTGTGGTTTCCAGTCTCTTCCCCATGTAAAATGAAGTTGCAAAAACCCAGGAAGCCCATCAAGCAATGCTTAGCATGGTAGAAAGCGTGGATGTTTCATGAGGAGAGCAGGCAGCACAGAGAATAGGGGCCAGGGAAGCCCTGAGCAGCTGTGGGGGAGCCCTGCGGATGGGCTGGCCCCAGGCACTGCTCAATCCCATGGCAGGGTCTGTCCCAGGCCCTCATTCCTGGCACTCCCATGAAACACAGAGGTGCAGCCTTGTCCCTTTGCTCTGGAGCCCCTGAGAACACTGAGTGTGTGTTTTATCACAGCAGTGCACACTGGTAGGTGTTCTCCAGAACCTAGGTAGGTAAGGAAAGAGCAGGAAGAGAAGAACTCGGCTCAGATTGGAAACGCTGCCTTTCAAAACCTTTGATAATCAGAGTGGCTCAAGTAGACGAGGTAAAAGACCTCTGCACAACACTGGGAAACATCTGAAAATGGAGCATTTATTCAGATTAGCTCATTGTTTCTGTTCCTTGAGCTGAGCCCTTCCTGTCAGCGATGCAGGCAAGTGTTTGCCACTTCTGTCAGTGAAGAGTCCATTTGGATGGCTGGCAGGTTTGGCCTCTTCTAGTCCAAGAGTAGCATTTCCTTAAACAGAAAATGTGAGGAGTTTTCTTCTCCCAGAAATTAGAAAATTGCAGAGTTGTTGTGGTCTGTTGTGTAAACATGCTCTCAGTTCCTTCCCTCCCTCTGAAAATTGAATTATTTAGCTAGCAGGTTATATTTAGGTCCTTTTAAAGAAAGTCAATATCAAAGGAAGTAGACTTTGATCTGTCTTTGAGGTGATAACTCTTAATATGTTCTATCTATCCATTACAAGCCTAAGATGGATAGGGCAAATTCTTCCTTGGTTTCAGAACACAGTCAAGAGTTGAATGGCATCCAAATTACAAAACTCCATAAAAATAATTTAAAGAATAACAAACCCCTCAAATTTAAACAGGTTATATATGTTAATTTTAAAGTAAACTTTGGTAAAAATCACAGAGGGGAATTATTTTTTTGCACAGACATTCCTGTGGTCTCAAGGATAAAACTACTCAGGCTCTCAAACACCACAAAATATATTAATGTAACTGTTCCTGTTCAGGTGGTCTCCTTGTTCTTCTGCTTCTTCCCTATCAGCAAGTATAGAAACTCTATGGCTATTGGGAAAAGGCATTTCTTGCTCCCTCCTAAGGATCTCTGCCAGGGTGTGTTGCAGGTTACCATCCAGAGAAATAATATTTTGCTTTGGTTAAAAAGGGTTTAACCTACGTGCCATAAAGCCATAAGTCAAATTTGGTACCCACAAACAGGAGATCAGGCCTGAGGGCCTTACCCTGAATAGGAAAGTGAGATGTGGGACATGAAGGACAGTGAAGCCCTATGGGAAGCATTTCAAGGTGACAGAGCACCAGAAAAACCCAGGTTACCATTTGGTAAGGATAATGTACCCTTGCTGCTTTTTTAATTAGCCTTTGACAAGGTGTGCCCCAAAATACTGTTCCAACAGCCCTGAGCACACCAGTCCCTTCCCTGTCATTTAAGAACTGCCTGTACCTTTCAGGCAATGGCACCCTGAAGTTACTGCCTGGAGAGTGCAGGGCACCTTTGTCTTGCCACTTGCAATAAAGTCAGTGAGCCCCACTGAGCTCATCCCTCTGTCTCTGTGAGGCTTCCTCTGCCTCTGGAGTGGCACTGCTGGGCTGCTCTGCGATGAGAAGATGGCTCCAGGTGACAGTGCTGTGACAGCCCTGCGGGGCGGGTGCAGCCAGCAGGGCTGGGAGGATGCGCCCGAGTAACTCCTGTGGAAATGGGGTTTGTGTGTGTCAGTCCTTACAAATAAGCTCCCTTAGGTACCAGAGAGTCTTGTGATCTATTTCCCAGCCCACAGCTTTGATGGCACACCAAGCCACATCTTCAGTTCCAGGTTTCTTTGCTTTTACTCTTGCTGGCTAATCTATTCTGTGAATGTTATGCAAACGTACTGCAATTATTTAAATTCTCTTATTGCTGTTCAGAGCGATTCCCCTTCTGGCCCTGCTGTTGTGTAGCATAGGGATCACGGCACTCTCTTCTGTGTTTCTCTTTTCCTATCTTTAAAATGGCAACAGGAATATTAACCTTATTGAAACACTTGGAATTCTCTAGAAGGAAAGCATCAAACAATATTTCCCTGTTCTAACCTGTAGCATGTGTGTATTTTTAAAAATTCACATACAATTTATCATCCAGTGAAGTGATAGTTTATTTGTGGAGTTTATTTGTAGAGTTTATTTATAGAGGTACAGTAAGCAACCGTTTGATTTCATCCTAGAGCCTATTTGTGCTCGTGGGCTTGAGTTTCCCACTGGTGGCAGTGAGCTCCAACCAGAGCCCAGCACTCACTCTCCATTTCCTGGGTCATTTTATCTGCTTTGCCCTTCCAAAGAGAGATTGTCCCCTCCCGACACCCTGTGGATGTTACCCCGTGCCAGCTGGTGACAGCAGTGCCAGGAGCACGAAGAGAGGTCCCAAAGTGCCATGGATTGCTCTGCTCCGGTCACGGAGGGAGCGATGGAGTCCAGATCGACACAAGGACAATTCTTCTAGACCATTCCACAGACACCTTATTAATAATGTAGAGTGGCAGAGAGAATTTCTAAAATAACAGTGGAGATGATGCAACGCTGCAATTATGGACACACTTAAAACCAAATATATTTGCCATGGTGGTCAGCAGTTCCGTTCCTGAGGACGGCCACAATGGAAACCAAGGTTTTTAAAGCAGGATAGGCCAAAACCCTCCTGCCTGTCTGTCTTCAGGTGAAACGTGGCTCAAGCCTAAGGATCTGAACAGCCATAGATGCCTTTGATAGAGTCTGAAAATCAAATCTGGGCTCTGCTGGATCACAGGAAGAGTGAGAGCTGTGGCAAAGGCTTTCCATCAGGTGCCTCCGGGGCCGGCTTTGCAGGGTGCAACCTCGTGAGCAGGTGGCCAGCAGTGACTCTGCTGGTGTCTCAAAGGACTGCCTTGGGACACAACTGCAGTTCATGGGATCTGGAGGACACCACCACATTGGCATCATAGGGAAAAAAAACAACCCATCTCCCTTTGCCACAAGTGAGCAGCACTGGCACTGTTAAACAAGAAAGTGAAGTGGTACAAACTGTTTGACTGCACTTCCACAGAGGCTCGGCCACGCGGAGACTCCTCAGGACAGATCTGAGAGAAGAGAGGCACAAAAGCCCTGCAGAGGCTGCGAGGACCCAGCAGAGGGGAGGAGGATGGAGGGAGTCCTGAGGTGTGAGTGGTGGTCTGCAAGGAGCATTTCAGCAAAACATTTCAGCCAGGTCTTCATCCTGGCCTTACTAAAATGCATCAATTTGCTCTCTTCTACCCTGGAAATGCTTCAGTACAATCACATTGTACTTCACCCACCTGACATTACTCTTGGAAATAAGGCAAGCTGAAATCCAAAGAAGAATCCCCATAGATTCTTTGGGCTGGTCCCAAAGCTGATGAGCACAGCAGGGCAGCCCAGCAGCTCTGCATGCTGTGCCCGATGCCTTTGGCTCCAGGATCATCCTGGCCTGCCCTGAGGCACACACTAAACCAGGAGAGCCTGCTGGCTTCCCTTTATCCACTGCACTGTTGGCTCTACACTGGACTGAATTTAGCAGTGATTCATTTTCCAGGTACTAAAATCAGCTTTTCTTCTATGGCTTCAAACAACCTAAGGGAAGAGGGACATTCCCACTCCTTCCTATTGAAACAAATGGCAACTGTGCTACGAGGCAAAGCCTTCACTAACCTGTTCAGAGCCGTCAGGTCTCCTACTGGTATGGAAAAGAGAAGAAGATCTAGGACATTTTCCTCTCTGGATGGGTAGATTTAACACAAAAATCAACAGGAAAGTTATGAGTAGATCTTCATATTGTCACTGTGTTATAGACAAACACTTGTGAAAACATCCCAGTGCAGGTGTGCTGAAGAACAGATATAATCTTCAATCATTTCAGGGAGCATTTTGATTTTAAACACTGCTGTAGCCTCTCGTGCCAGGTTTTAAAGTCTGATTGTTTAAATTCCAGAATAACAGACCAAGTGAAC